GAATGTTAGCTCACTATGGCTTCCTTCCATTTCTGCGCGGCAGTACTTCGGGTCGCCGGGGATGGGGACAATCGTTACTTATTCGTTGCGGTTCGGCGCGGTGCCAAACCTTTCGTTTCTGAATACGCCCTTCCCTGGATTATATCTTTTCGTTTCGGTGCTATCGGTGGCGCCGAGCGGGATTCTTAATTGCCTCACGCGGTTGGAGTTGCCGTTTTTGCTCCGCAGTTGGTCATGTGGCGACTGAAGCAGATGAGGGAGTTTCTTGTCCCGCTGCGTTGCCACGCGGCGAGTCTGTCATATTAGAAGCTCATCATGAGTATGCTTGTTGTTTTGCACCTTGGTGTTCCGCCGCTGCAAACTTGGGAAATATTGGTCGACGCGTGCCTGAACGTAGCCAGTCGAATCGTGTAGTGTCAGGATTCGTGTCCTAAGCGTTGCCGCGTGACGCGCAGAGTATCTTTTGTTGTTCGAGCCCCGAGGCGTTACCACGTGGCGAGTCGACTGGAATAGTAGGCTTTCGAGTTTCGTGCGCTGCCGCGTGATGAGTATAGCGGAACAGTATTTGCTCCCGCCTTTCTACTGTGCCATGTGGCGTGTCGAAGCATCTGCTTGAATTGTTCCGCACCAAGGCGTTGCCGCGTAATGGTCGGTCGCATTTGTTCGCCCCTTGGCGTTAACACGTGGCGACTCGAGTGGCGTAGTATGTTTTCGGCCACAGGCGTTGTTGCTTGTCGAGCAGGGTGGCGTCGTATTTGCTCCCGCTTCTTTGTGGCGCCTCGCGCAGTGTTTTTGCTCCTGCTGCTGTTGCCGTTGTTATTGCTGTTGTTGCTGCTGCTAAGGTTGTCGGTCTTGTTGTTTCTGTTGTTGTTGCTGCTGTTTGTTGTTGTGGTTTTTGTGGTGGTGGTGGTGGTCGTTGTTGTTGTTGTTGTTCTTGCTGGATGGTGGTGGTGTTTCGTGACGAGTAGAGTGGGAACGTTGCTTTTTGTCAACCCAGGTGTTGCCGCGTGGCGAGCATGACGGATTTTTGTTTTTTGCCGCGTGGTTGCCACGTAACGGGTGGAGTGGGATTCTCCCCCCCCCCCGGCATTGCCGCGTGGCGGGTAGAGTGGAATCATCTTTTCCCTTTCCTTCGGCGTGGCCACGTGACGTGCGCAACCGTACCTTTTTTTTTGTTTCCGCACGCTAGGCGTTGCCGCTAGATGAGTGGGATGGGGTAGTAAACGTTTTGCTCTCCAAGACGTTGTCGTGTGGAGGCTCGAGCGGCGTTTGTTTCCCGCCAATCTGCGTCGCCCCGTGGCGTGTAGAAACGTAGCGTTTATTTTCCACTGCTAGGAGTTGCGGCGTCACGAGCCTAATCGCTTCTTAGCTTCAATCTTTCAACTTTTAATTTCCTTCCTGGCTGTACAAACTTTCCAACGTTTAAGTTACCGCTTACATGTTTTATGTTTCAAAGTTCCACCACCACGAACTGTTCTGTAATAGGCTTTCAAACGTCACATTTTCAACTTTTCAATTGCTTGAGATTTGACGCCCGGCATTTTGAAACACTGGAGGCGGATCCATACGTCCTACCAGGGGTGTCTGACGCCACCAGCCCGCGCCGTCCGCAGGCATCGGACGTGATGGTTTTTTTCGTGACGCGGGTGCTTTGGGCTTTTGACCCCCTCTTTGGGACTGACCCTTCGTCGCGGGTTCATGCAAATGTTGGTGTCGGGGGGGCACAGGGGCCAAGCTTGGCAAACCAGGCCCCGCGATTGAACAAATGATGGCTTCGGACGTTTGGGGAACGCGAGGCGGAGGAGGATGCTGATGATGATGATGAGGAGGAGGCGGCGGAGGAGGGGGAGGAGGAGGAAGAGGAGGAGAGGAGGAGAGGAAGTGGGGGGGTGGGGGGGGGGAGGAGGAGAAGGCGGAGGAGGAGGAGGAGGAGGAGGAGGAGGAGGAGGAGGAGGAGGAGGGGATGGAGGGGAGGAGGAGGCGGAAGAGGAGGCGGAAGAGGAGGAGGATGATGATAAGGAGGAGGAGGAGTTGGGGGAGGAGGAGGCGGAGGAGGACAAGGAGGAGGAAGAGGAGGAGCAGGAAGAGGAGGGGGACCAGGACCAGGAGGAGGAGGAGGAGCAGGAGGAGGAAAGGACGATGAGGAGGAGCAGGAGGTGGAGGAAGAGGAGGAGAAGCAGTCGCAGGTTCAGGAGGAGGAGGAAGAGGAGAACAAAGAGGACGAGCATGGGGAGGGAGGGAGGCAGGGGGGAGGGAGGAACGAATGGCGGGCGGGCGGGCAGGCGGGAGGGAGGGTGGGAGGGAACAAGAGGAGGAGGAGGAGGAGGTAGAGGAGGAGGAGGAGGACGAGGAGGAGAAGGAGGAGGAGGAGGGGGATGAGGAGACATGAGGAGACATGGTGGGGATGATCGGGGGGAGGAGGAGGAGGAGGAGGAGTAGGAGGAGGAGGAGGAGGAAGAGAATTACGACGAGGAAGAGGAAGAGGACGAGAAAGAGGAGGAGGAGGAACAGGTGGAGAATGAGGCATATGAAGGCAATGCTGATGATGATGATGCTGAACATGATGATGATTAGCTGATGCTAATGCTGATGCTGCTGCTGATGATGAGGATGCTGATGCTCATGTTGTTGTTGCTGTTGTTCATGATGATGATGATGATGATGATGATGATGATGATGATGATGATCATGATGACACTTATACCGGTGTCGATGGTCATGAGGCTGATGATGCTATGACGATGATGGTGATGCTTATGCGGATGAGGATGATGATTATGATGATGATGATGACCCTGCTGCTGCTGATGATGCTGTTGTTGATGATCATGCTGATGTGGCTGCTGATGATGATGGGGGTGATGATGCTGATGCTGATGAGGATGTTGATGCTCATTATGATGCTGACGACGACGATGCTGATGATGACGATGATGCTGATGATGCTAATCATATGATGTTGATGATGCTGATGCTGAGTGTGCTCTTGATGAGGAGGATGAGGCTGCTGATTATGATGCTGATGCTGATGCGGATGCTGATTAAGCTGGTGACGAAGATGCCGATGATGTTGATGATGATTATGATGCTGATGGTGACGTCGACGACGAGCATGCTGAGTATGCTGGTCCGGATGCCGATGCTAATGATGCCGATGATGAGGATGATGATGCTTTTGCTGCTGATGATGACGATGATGCTGTTGATGCTGATGATGATGTGGCTGCTTATGATGATGTTGATGCTGATGCCCATGTTGATATTGTTGCTGACGATGATGATGCTGATGGTGATGCTGCTGATGATGATGAGGCTGATGACGATGATGCTGATGATGGCGATGCTGCTGCGGCTGATGATGATGACGATGAAGATGATGCTGAGGATGCTGCTGCTGCTGATGATGGTGATACGGATGCTTATGATTATGATGATGATGCTGATGATGATGATCATGCTGATGCTGCTGATGATGATGATGACGATGTCGATCACGATTATGCTGATGATGATTATGCTGCTGATGCTACTGATGATGTGGATGATGGTAACATGATGTTGGTGTTGATGATGCTGCTGCTGATGATGGTGATGCTGATCATGGTGATGCTGATGATACATGAGGTTCATGTTGTTGATGATGCTGCTGCTGATGATGATGACGATGCTGCTGCTGCTGATGATGATGAGGATAAGGATGCTTCTGCTGATGATGTTGATACGGATGCTTATGATTATGATGATGATGACGCTGATGATGCTGATGCTGATGACGATGAGGATGATGATGATGCTGAGGTTGATGCTGATGATGACGATGATGATGACGATGCCGATCACGATGATGCTGATGATGATGCTGCTGCTGATGCTAATGACGATGTGGATGATGGTATGATGATGTTGGTGTTGATGATCATGCTGCTGCTGATGATGGTCATGTTGATGATGACGATGCTGATGCTGTTGATGATGATGATGATCATCATCAACATGATGTTTCATGTTGGAGATGATGCTGCTCCTGATGATGAGGACAATGCTGCTGCTGCTGCTGATGATGATGATGATGGTGGTGGTGGTGATGATGATGATGATGTTGAGGATGATGAGGAGGAGGATGAGGATGATGAGGAGGAGGAGGAAGAGGAGGAGGAGGAGGAAGAAGGGGAGGAGGAGGAGGAGGAGGAGGAGGAGGAGGAGGAGGAGGAGAGGAGGAGGGAGGAGGAGGAGGGATGATGATGATGATGATGATGATGATGATGATGATGATGATGATGATGATGAGGAGGAGGAGGAGGAGGAGGAGGAGGAGGAGGAGAACCAGTGTAAGCCTAAAACTCATCAACGATGGTGGAGTAAACCCTGCCTCCAAACTCCCTCTTCTAGGACCCCTACAAAGCTACGCTTCCACTGAGGGACGTGCGTCGTTTGGAGAAAATAATTCGAAGATCCTGCAGCGTGCCAGCACACTATTCTCGGAACTTCAACGCCACGAACCGACCTGATTGCTGCGTCTTGACGATCGTGAACCGTGCCAGAACACTATCCCTGGGAACACCGCGAATCAACGTACCTGTTGCGCCCTGACATTCCTGAATCGTTTCAAAACGCCATTTCCGGTATGTTGGCCGTGGGAACCCGTGAAACTCCTGCAAATGTTTAACACGAATGTGCGCGGCGCTAAGGCGAGAGCCCCAGTTGTGCGCGGCGCTAAGGCGAGAGCCACATCTTGAATACCACCCGCCCTCCATCCGTGAAATTGTTGCGAATCTCAAGCTTCAGGATCATGCGTGGTGGGGATGTCTCAGGCGAACCGCTCGGCTAGCTCTTTCGACCGACCTCGGGGCGCGACAGGGAGGAGTTAGTCTTGAGGAAAAGGAGCTGTGGAGGAGGCGGCGGAGGAGGCGGAGGAGGAGGAGGAGCTGTGGAGGAGGCGGAGGAGGAGGAGGAGGAGGAGGAGGAGGAGGAGGAGAGGGGGGGGGGTGCGCCGCCCAGAG